TCTTTTTATGATGCTCTTACTCTTTTAGACCAGGCGCAAAAACACACAAAAAAAAAGACGCATTGTAAACATAGTTAGACCTGTTAAAAAGCATTGTAAACATAGTTCTGTTCTTGGAGCCAACCTTCAACCATTATTAGGTTTTCATAATGTTGCTTCTCTTTCTCTTTTCTACAAATACTATAATGGGTACTGCTCTAATGAGCTAGCATCTCTTGTGCCATCTACTAAAATTTATTCTCTTGTTACTTGTCATTCAATTAAGTCTCATCTTTTTTCTTTGACTGTTCCTAAGTGATCCAAAATCTCTTATTAGTCTTGTTTTTTCCTCAAACATCAGTTCTTTGGAATTCGCTTCCTTCATCTTGCTTTCCTGATTCATATAACTTGCTATCTTATAAGTTGTCTATTAATCGTTTTCAGCAGTTTTAAAATGAACACACTAACATTGCCTAAAACCATCAAATTAAATGATAAATTTTTGTATGATAAAGAAGAGATAGCTAACGAGCTGAATATATATTTTCTTTCTGTTGGACCAAATTTATCCCAAAAACTTCCTCAAGCAATTAATCCAATAAGTAATCTATTTATCCCTTTATCCCTAATACATCACAATTTAATTTGTTTGAACTAACTTTTGAAGAGTTTGAATGTGTTTTTAAAGTGCTAAAACCCAACAAATCAGCAGGTGCAGATGATATCAATGTAAATATTGTTATTAAATTATATGAAATCATAAAAGATGTACTTTTTAAAAAATTTTCTTGTTCTGTTAGGCAAGGAATTTTTCCTAATCAACTAAAAATAGCAATATTTAAGGGAGGCGATTTGACTAATGTTAGCAACTATCATTCCATTTCTATTCTATTTGCATTTTTAAAGGTCTTAGAGAGAATTTTATATAACAGAATTTATAATCATTTATCTGTAAACAATTTAGTATATAGCAATCAATATGGATTCAAAAAAAAATAACTCAACAGAACACGCTGTTCTCTAGTTTACGAGAAGTATTACTAACTCTTTTGAAAACTCCCAATATACAGTTGGGGTTTTTATTGACTTAGCTAAAGCTTTCGATACAATAGACCACAATATTCTTTTGATTAAACTTAAGATTTACGGTAGTAACGGAAATGTTTTAAATTGGTTAAAAAGCTATTTAAATAATCAAAAACAATTTGTATACGTGGATGTAGTTTCACCAGTAGACTTACTCAATATAACCTGTGGAGCTCCTTAGGGACCAATATTAGGGCCTCTTCTCTTTCTTATTTACATCAACGATCTCCATAAAGCATCAAATTTAATGATGATTATGTTTGCAGATGACACAAACTTATTTTTATCTCATAATGATATTACATTGTTATTTCAGAATATCAATAATGAACTAGTAAGAGTTTCTGATTGGTTCAAGACAAATAAACTGTCTCTTAATATCAATAAAATGAAATTGGTTTTTTTTCCATCTAAGTCACAAAAAAAGTCTTATACTAAATGACATGACTTTTTATTGGTAACATACTTCTAAAAAAAGTAACAGTAAGCAACTTTCTCGGTAGTTATATTGATAAAAGTTTGTCATGGAAAAGTCACGTAAAAAAATTTATATATTATAATTATAGTAAAACATCATAAAGCATAGGAATTTTATACAAAACAAGGAGTTTTTTAAATAAATAAACATTACTTAAACTATATTATTCGCTTATTCATTGTCACATAAAAAATGCAAACATTGTGTGGGGCAGTACTAATAAAAGTAAACTGGAACTTCTTTATCGTCAACAAAAACATGTTGCACACCTTATTAGTTTTAAGGATCGATTTACTCATGCCAAACCTCTATTTATTGAAATAAAAGTTTTAAATATATATGAGCTTAATATTTTTAACATTATATGCTTTATTTTTAAATGTAAAAACAATATTTCTCCTGCACCTTTTCATAATTTGTATAACAAAAAAGAAAAAACTAAATACTTTTTACGAAATGATAACGACATTCATCAATCAGGTTATCAAACTAACTCTGGAAAATACTGTATTTCATTTCGAGGAGCATTACTTTGGAATAAAATAGTTTTAAAGAATTTTGACTTTTCTCAAGAGGTTAGCTATCACTCATTCAAACAAAAACTTAAAAAAGTCATTTTTTTATTAGATGATATATCTATATTCTTTTTTCTTTTTTAACTCTATATTAAACACTGCATTAATAAAATTTATAATTTAACAATTTGTAAATAGTTGTTTATCTTGAAACTGTGTAACGCATCTATGTATTGATAACGGAATCTTTTTGTTTTTTTTTCTTTAAATTTGTTAATGTTTTCAATTCTTAATTCTGATTTATTTGGTATCTTCAACTATATTAAAAATATAAAGTTTATTTAGTTATTTTGAGAATATTTTATTAATACGAAATGTAAACACTTAAACTTTTTCAGCGGTTCTTGACGACAAGACATCACAGTCTTCTATGAATTCCCACGTTCTTTTATTTTTTAATAACAATATATATATATATATATATATATATATATATATATATATATATATATATATATATATATATATATATATATATATATATATATATATTGTTAACGAATATTTATTGAATCACAAAGTTGTAAAATTAAAGAACAAAAAAAATTAAAAGTTAAAAATCGTTATCTTTCTCTACAATCTTTATCTTTTCGCTTTCAATAACTTCCAACTCTAATTAGTTGCTTGCATCCTTGTTGAAAGCGAAGATGTTTTAAAAAAAAACATTTTAATTCTTTAAGTTTATATTAGTCCATTAACATCATATATTGAAATAAGAAGAAGAAATATGCAGAAAAACACTAGGCCGCACATGTGATCTACTTTAAATTACACTCTCTTATGTAGATAAAAATTTACAATCAAATAATTGTCTCATCACAAGATGAGACAGTTAAACTAAAATTTGTCTCACGAGCATGTAGGTCTGGTGAACTTTGCAAGAGATAAGACTCAACAGAAGAAAATTAACTTCAAAGACCACGAGTATTAGTGATTGGTAGATTTAGAGAACTAATTATGACAATAGTTTTTTGTGTTTTATAGTTTTTTAAATTGACTAAAGAACTTGACACAGATTGTACTCAGTACACTACCTAACAGAATAAACCCTAAGCCGTAACAAAAACTCCAAATGTAGCCTCAACAATACGCAGCAAAAGTACAAACAGGGACACCATCCATGCGCAACATAGCACTGTTAGTACTCTAATATTTTACAGTTGTTGATAGAATCGGTCTCTCTGAGGGCTACGATAAAGTAAGGGAAACCTGGCTACCAGCCAGCCTAAGAACCATAAAACTGAGTTTTAGAGCTGCACCCTTATTAAGAGATAATAGAATGTGTTGTCTAGTCATAAAAACAGAGACACAAGCAAAACCCATGCATTGAGTTAAGAAAATCCAGCATTCAGTATTCTAAACTGGAAACAATATATTATAAATACATCTATGCCAGCCTAATAAATAAAGAAGGGATACAAAGCTGGTCAACAGATAGAACCTGTTTACCTCTTACATGTGTGAGCATGAGTTTTATTGTCTTGGACTTCTTAGAACCTAAGTCTTGATCCTGGTCTTGTAAAAACTTTTAAAGTCTCGGTCTTATGTTGATCTTTTTATGTCTTGGTTTTGGTCTTGGTCTTGAAGCATTCAGTCTTGGTCTTGGTCTTGAGCCCAAATTTCTTGGTCTTAGTCTTGGTCTTGGCCTTTACTGTCTTGACTACATCTCTGGTTGAAATACAAATATCTAAAAAATTTAATTGGTGTTAAGCATTTTGGGATGGAATAGTTGAAAATTCACAACAATGTAATGTTAAAATAAACTTGGAGAACCCTAAAGCGCTTTCTGTTATTTCAAACAACTACACAAGAAAAATTCGTTAGGCCATTAAAATACAACTTTTGCAATTTTCAAAATCTAAAGGAAAGTTTGAAATCGTGACATTGGCAATTTGGTGATGACTCGCTATTGGAAACCACACTGTAAAATTAAACCACACTGTAAAATAAAAAATGCTAATATCTGACGTTGCAACGGCATCATTTTGTTAAGTTATAATAATTTTTTAAACGGTTTTATTAGTTTTATAATGGCTCTCGCTACATTAGCCGAAATATCACGTAATAAAAGAAATAAATAGTATAATACCGCATATGATGTTTTAATACTCATAATGTTATTTCACATACTATTAAAGATGTTACATAAATTAGATATATCAGAGCTGACGATATATGTTATGATATATCGTCAGCTCTGATATATCTAATTTATATGTTACATAAATTAGATATATCAGAGCTGACGACAGCAGGGGGCCAAGGGCCCCCCTGTTGTCGTCAACAGCCCCTCCACTTATTTTCTTAAGGGCCTTTTCTTTTTTAAAGAAAATTATAGATATAGAGGACTTTTTTAAAAAATTGACGATTGTGCCCCTCCACTTTGAAACCCTTGTCGTCAGGCATGTATAAATATATATATATATATATATATATATATATATATATATATATATATATATATATATATATATATATATATATATATATATATATATATATATATATATATATAATCTGTGTTAGTACCTAAAAACAGTTCTGGTTGCTCATGAATATGCAGGCCAGTAGGCAGGATTTTTTGATATTTTAGATATAGCATTTAGGTAAATAAAGTATATATTTTTAGCATATGCTAAATTTAAATTCATCAATCGTTTTTTAATGTAATTTAATAATCTTTTAGTATATCTAACTATAAAATTAAAAATTTGTGAAATTTACATTTTTGGGAGGGCAGAAATTTTACATTTACATACAAATTTTGTACCTTAAAAGATAATTAAATAAAATTAAAAACCTGTCGATGAATTTAAATTTAGTAGGATGTGCTACTTTTTTACACTTTTGAGCTCGTATTTTTACATTTTAATTTTTTTTAGGTTGGAATACTTTTATTCATTTGTAATATTTGTGTTCATTTTTTATGGAAAAAAAAGCACGATCCAGATAATTGCGCAATACCTTTTTTAACTGCAATAGGCGATCTTTTTGGAACAGCTCTTTTAACCGGTGCATTTAAACTAAGCAGTTTAGTAAATTGATATAATTTTTTTTTTATAATTTTAGATAATTTTTTTTTCTACATGTAGTACATTTTAAATGTTTTTAAATGGCATACCTAATTAAATTTTTGTTTTAAATTATAACATTTTTTGCTAATGATTTATAGTTTTATATTTTTTGGTTATGGTTTTATATTTAAATCGTTTGTTTTGTTGTTTGTTTGTTGTTGTTTTTTTGTGTTTTTTTATTGTTTTTTAATAAGAAGTTAGACTTATGAGGTTAAGCAACGATAGATTTTTAGAGGCAAAGAAATGAAAACAAGCAGAGATCCGGTTATTTGATGAAAACAAGCATGGATCCGGTTATTAATAATTTTTTGAATAAGTGAAAGGGATTGCAACGTTTTAACGTTTGTTTTGAAATCCAAAATGATCTGTCAAAGTTATATTAATATCTTTGTCATAGATCTAAAATTATTTATAGTTAAAGACTTTAATAACAATAATATATTAAATTATTAATAATTAATACTTTTATAATTACTTTAATACTTCTATTATAAAAAATGTGTTTATAACATTCAGTAAAAAAAAGTCTCAATACTTTTGCTGTATTGCTCATTAAGATGTTATATATTTATTGACATTATAACTAGTAGTAGTATTATATATGATATATATTGTAGTCTGTTATATACTAACAATTATAAATATATTTTTTATCTCTTTTGTCATATGAGGGTAATAATAAAATAAATTTTTTATTTTTTGATCTACTTAATTTTAGTTTTCTGCTTTAATATGTTACAAACTATTATATAACAAATATTATAAATATACAAGTAGATAAATATTTTTTGCAATTATTAAGTTATTTTTTCTATAATTAGTAAAACATTGCAGTTAGACTAACTGACATTTTCAAAATTTTTCAAGTACTTTAGATGTCTCTTTGTTAACAAGCATTTTTCTAGCAAGCACATCAACGTTGAAAAACGTCGTGATTGTTAAAAACTTTGATGTGCAAATTTGGACATGAAGTGAGCAAGTTTGACATTTAGGGCCAGTCGGCAAATAATAGTAAACATTTTTTAGTTTTTGTCAAAGATATATTATATAAACTAGATGTCTAACTTCGATCCGAAAAGTGAAGCCGCTTTTGCCCTTTTTACAAACGGCGGATAAAAGTTTTGAGTAGAAAAGTAAAACGACTGACGCTCTTAAAGCATTCTTATGAATTAAAATACTTTTTAATAAACATAGGCTAACAAAAAAACTTTTGTAAGTTTTTTTATTAAAACATGATTTTGAATTTTCTGTAATTTATTGGGAATTTAAAAGGCTGAAAGATTTAATCAATTAAAACAGCAATGCTAAGTTACAAAATCATTAATTTAAGGTTTTAAAAACAATTTTGTGAAAACAATTACATAAAAAGTATAAAAATGTACAAAATCAACAAGTTATGATTTTGTTTAAACAGTATTTTGCGACCTAAAGTCATGATTCCAGCGAAAATATTTATATTTACAGAAGAAAAAATTTTATTAATAATAGCTAGCCACAGGCTTATCTTTAGTTCAACCCGGTCCCCTAGTGAATCAATGCTTGTGGCCTCTCTAGCCTGCCCTCTCACTTAAAATCACGCACAAAAATCCGTACTTTTACACGGTTTTGTTTTTACATGTTTTACATAGTAAATACTACTGCAAAAGATCAAATACCAACGAGTTAACGTGGTAGTTATAATATCGTAAGGTAATTCAAAGATTGGATTATTTAATTCTCCAATGCTTGGATTGAATCCAAGCATTGGAGAATTAAATAATCCAATCTTTGAATTACTCTTATTGGACAGCCAAATCTTTGTTTTCTTTAAATAATTGAAACACTTTAGCAGGGTAAAACGAAATATAGACATTTCTAAAGTAGACAATTTTCATCTAAATTAATTTGATATCTAGCAGCAACTTTTCAAATCAACGAAATGATCAATTATATCTTCTACGTTAATATATTTTAAAAGAACAGGTTTAACTTAAAAGTAGGCTACAGCTGACAAGCGTTTCTGTTCATTATTAGACCTGTAGCAATTTTTCCCCCTTTTTAAAGTTGAAAAGAATCTTTCTCTTCTACAAGTTGTAACAGCTGCAGGAAAAAACATTTAAAGTCGACATTAGGGAAGGTACAACGTTGACATTAGGGAAGTTTCTTTAATCTTTAAATCAAAAGTAAATCTAGATGATTTTTCTAGATTCACTGGAGCCAATTTTAAATAATGTCGGAATAAAATCTCTCAAAAGGCGGACATTAATTTGCAAAATAAATGCCCGCACCATTTGGGTAGATTATAAAAAGTTTTTCTTCATATCGATAATATCTGATGCTTTAATAGGCGTCAAACCGTTGTGTTGGCTTTTGATTTCAAGACTTGCCTGCAATGTGTTAAAGCAGAAAAAAATATTATATATAGCTGTTGAATGTAACCAAGGAAAGATGCTGTTGTTACTCAAGAGTCAGTTGCTGCAAGATCAATAAGATTCTTTGTCTTAGTTTATGTTCGTTACGTTATGAAAATTTCCATTATAATGTATTCCAATTTTTGATTTGATTTAAAAGTTTTATGCTAACCTTCTGCAGCATTATACCTAAAAAAAACTCGTTAAGATTTTGTTAATAAGTCTACATAAATATGTATATATTAATAGACTAATAGGTTAAAAAGAAAAATAATCCTAAAATATAAATATAATTAAACTTTACATGGAAGAAATAAACTTGATGACAGATACCACTCGATGCAACATATTTCTCCAACACTCCTTTTCACTATGAAACTGTTTAATGTTTCAAAGTGAAAAGGAATATTGTATTTATGTTCCGCAGATTGCTTATGCAATTATAAGCAACTTCCCAGTAGTAAACAAATCTAAAACTATCAAATGCTTTTGTCAAACAAAACACTTATCCTAGCTTGCTAAAGAACTCTTAGTTTTCCCGAAAAAGAAGCAAGGTTTGCCGTAATTGTTACTGTTCTTAGCAGAATATATCATTCAATCACTTCTTTGTTTTCTCTATTTACTAATTTTTAAATAAATTTTTTGAGCTGCGTTATAAAGATCTAGCATTGTCACAGGTTTCAGAACTTGAAAAATCACAGGTGTTTTACGGCTCTATTTTGCTGATTTGTTGTGATGAGTTCAATCAGACCATTTTTTGACGCATCTAGTCGGTAGGGTTAGTAAAAAATTAACGTTATGAGCTAATTTTTAAACTGCGCACACTTATGGGTTCCCAGTTTGCTGCCTCTTTATAAAAATCTTCATCATCTATCAACGAATCCGGAGGATTAGCTGCTACATGTGCTAGAATCCACAGCCTCTTGTGATAATGCTTTAGATTGTTTTCTGCGAAAAATATTGTCAAATTTAGTAAAAGTGCAACAATATTTAGGTTTGTGATAAATTTTAAAATTGTCTCTTTTTTTTTTTTACCACCAGACTTTCTTTTCCCAGGCTCATTTATGTTATTAATTGATCACTTTTTTCAACAACAAAAAATCTGGTTCACTACCAACAAGGCTGCAAGCAACCACTTTTAAGTTGAAAGTTACTTGAACAAAGAATAGAGTTATAGAGCAGGGAAACAGTTGACAAAAAACTTAAAATATTAGAAGTTGTATGAATCACGAAAACATGAAAACGGAAGAGTTCCAAAAAGTTTAATTACGGGGAAAAAAATAGACAAATAAAGGTTTTTAGAGCATGCAGGAACAGATACAGTAAACAAATGAAACTTTGCTAAATGACAAATCAAGCGAGAATGAGTTTTAATTGATAAAACTAGAGATGATTACTCCTTTGAGCAGCGTCTGATTTTGTAGAAAAGAGAAAGAAATACAACTTTATGACGATGGAAAAGAGGCTCAAGCTTAGCAACTAGAGCGGGTCCAACTATGTTTACAATCTGTTTAAGAACCTTGTCTAGATAGAAAGAGCTTCTTTAGAAGAACCAGCCCAAATATGACAACAGTATTTCATACAGGGACGAATAAGAGATTTATAGAGGTAGAGAATGGAATCAGGTGAGAGAAAAAGGTAAGCACGATAAAGAAAAGCAACTTTAGCTGATACTAATATAGCAATTTAAATATAAAGTTGATTGAATATATGGTTTCCATGAAAGGTCAGTAATATAAATAAGGGGGTAAAATAAAAACCAATATTGAGCCATTCTACCCAATAAGAAGGAATTCCTTTCTACCTTTCTACTTTCTGATTAGGATCTAGGTATGATAATGCGAGAACAAAACCGACAAAATAGACTGTGCACACTAGACCAAGTGTGTGACTATAATCAAAACATCCTAGGAAAATGATAAAATTGTGGTACAAAAAGTCAAGTCTCATTAGGAATTGTAGACTTCAAGACGTTTATCTCAGATTTCAAGACGTGGTGGCCTCAATTTTACAAAAAAAGTTGATGAAACCAAAAGTAAGTAAGTTAAAAAGGACAAAAAAGCAGTAATTTTCATGAAGCAAGTTAATGCACTGCACATATGATATAAAATTTCTCCCTAAGGTTAGTGGCAAACGTCATCGGTTCTATAATGAATCATAGGTTTTCTTTAAGAGCAACGGGTTGCTTAAACTTATGTTTTCCAAGTAAAAAAGCTTACCCGGTAAGAAAAGTACCAATAAAGATTGAAAAATGGCAAACATAAAGTAACTACAACCCTAAGTTCCAGTAGTGTTTAAAGATTTTTATGCTGAAAGTTATATGTGGCCAACAACTGAAGTTATTAAATTTGAAAATGATGACTAAGTTTTCGTTGCTTCTATTTTTTATCTCAAACTAGAGATTTCTTTGTTATATAGTATATATTACTAAATAGTATATATTTGTAAAACTATTTTTTTATAAATAGGAGTGTATGTAAATATTGATTTCTATGTGTTTTTAGTAAACAACATTTTTTAAACACATTTATCCGTCTTTTTCTTCAAATTATGCTAAAAAGGATAAGCCAAACAACTTTACTGATTTTTTTAAATATGAAACCATTGTAAATGTCATTAATCAAGTGTTTTTTATGATAATTGGGTTAATAAAGAATAAATAAACAAAAAAATTACATCTTTTTGAATAAAAATGAAGATAATGCAAAGTTTTATTTCGTTTTCTCAAAACTATGTGTTGTTGACTACTTTTCTTTTAGCATGAGCCGATTCAAATATTGTCAATAGTAAAGAGAGAGCAAGTAAAAATATCTCAAAAACGTTCAAAGTATACCCCGGTTTACGGTACTTATAAAAAAAATTTATAGGTTCAAAAGCACTTTTTTTTAACGCTTATAACGTTCATAGTGGGTATGAACGTTAAAAAACTCTTTTTTTAAATCAATTTAAAAAAAAAAAATTCTCGCTTTATAATAACTAAAAATTTTAGATAAAAGTAGAAATATTTAATAATAACTCTAACAAGTCTTAAACAATTCTTAATATGATTTACTATTGTTATATATAACATATTTTGTTGTTTTTCAAGGAAAAAATATTATTCTATTGTTGTTTTAAACATTTTAAAAACAAAATATGTAATCATTACCGTACTAATATAGGTTCGAATAAAGGTTCGAATATAGGTTCGAGTATGTGATATGAATTTGAGTAAGAATAGCTTATTAAACTTTTGTACATAAAAATTCTTATTAAAATTCATCGAGTTTCTTGCAAATACTATTTTTTAAATAGCTTGTTTTACGTTGCAGGTAGCAATGTACAAATGTAATTATATACATTAAAACATTTTTCTTTAGGAGTTTTTAATTTTTGAAATATTTATAAAAACTTGCGTAGTTGCTTATACCCAAAAAACAAACATATTATATCAATGTTAAAACAAAGTTTTTACCTAATATACATTTTTGCATAATGTAGTTTTCGATCATAATTTATATAAGTTTTTTTCCGAAGTAAAAAATATTATGATAATTTATGACCGAAAAAAATATTTTTAACTGAGTAATTATAAAATAACCGGATACCCGGAAAACCAGAAAAGTCAAAATAAATTTAATTATCCGGATAATTCAATATCCTGATAACCTAACAAAAGATACAGGAATAGGAAATCATACTGCGATTTTTTTGAAACCAATTAGTGAAAAGTTTTTATTTAATTCGATATTGAATCAAAGAGCTTTAAACATATCAAATAGCTAAAGTTACTTTAAGTAATGTCACAGTATTTTTATTTATGTTAAACTCGTTGTTTTATTAACGATAATTTATCACCAAAAAGAGACAATACAATCAAACATAGCGTAATCAAAATTCTTTAAAAAATAAATGTGTCGTATTTATTGAATAAACCCTCAGAGACAATATAAAAGCGTAAAAATTAAATACGTTTTGAAATTCTATTTTTTCGGTTGACATAGTAACTTCCTGACTAAATAATCAATAAGTTTTCTTTCTTCAATTTAAGAATTTTTTTTTTTAAGTTCTTAAAATTTTATCATTTTTTTTTTAAATATGCTATTTCTCTGACTTTTATTCAAAAGCAAATTTTTTTTTTTTGAAGAGAAATTTTTTTTCTCCGTTTATTGTTTCATTGGAAACAGGATGTATATCAATAACATTGTTTGTATATAGAAATAGGAAAACATTTTTATTAACAGATTATATCTAATATATCTTTTCAATACAAGACTTAGCGTACCTCCTTGCTCCCTCTATATATATTTTCAGGGTGACTCAGGATTTTTAGAGTTCACAATTTTTAATTTACTGTGAGGTTACTTTAAAGGTCTAAACACAATTTTGAAATTTCTCTTCCTTCTTTCTTTTAAACTGTATATTAAAAATATTACAATATATTAAAAAACTCATAAATTTTTGAACAATACCTCAAGCTGTATAAATTTATCCTTCATTAATATTAGAGATTTGGATTGAAGAAAACAATTTCTAATTTTTTTCAGGAGAAAAGGAACAATTCCCGACTTTGGCTAGTGTGAATGACGTTTCACACATTGATCCTCCTTTTTTGTGGTTCAAAAAAGAGGTTTTACTTGTACTTTTTCTATCAAATTTTTTTATTTTTATAATTGAATATTTAAAATCACATTTGGTAGTAAATTGCCTTTAGAAATAACTACAATTTTTGCATTTGTAAAATATACAAATGGCCGATGCAAGATGAAGACAAAATAGTCACATCACCAAGCAGCTAATAATTCGTAAATAATATATATTCATAAGTCATTAAACATCATAAAAATGTCATAAAACATGATACAAACAAGTTGTAAAAATAAAGATAACTCTAAAATTGGTTTTCTAATAATAAATAAACACAAGTTAAAACAATAAACAAACAAAAAAGTATGAAAAATTTACTTTTTTATGTATTGAGAAAGTTTAAGTTCTTTATATAAAAACATATAAAGAAAAAATTGATTAAAGAACTTAAAATTTTTAAGTATAAAAAGAAAACTTATTATAATATATTATAAACTATATTATATTATATTGTGAAGACTGATAAATAAATATAGCTCAAGAAGAAGTCTTCCATGTTTACATAATAAAAATTTTATAAACATCATTAAAAATGTTCTCAAACTTAATTAAAAAAAAAAAAGCTAATATTAAATAAAGATGATTTATTCCAAAATTTATTTTTTGATAATAAATAAATACAAAACAAAAATGTAAAATAAGCAAAAAATAAATAAAAATTATACAAAACAGTTTGCAATAATTACGATTATATTCTTGGAAAATGGAATTAAAAAAATAATTTAAAGAGTTCTAGCGTTATCGCCAACTTCTAGCGTCATCGCTTCACGTGGAGTTTCATTATCACATGCTTCAATATCTCACAATGCAATTAAAAAATTACGCATATCACCAACTTGATAGCAAACGGCTTTGACATTCTTTGATTCTTACCCAGTATTGCAGAGTTAGTTTAAAAACAAAATTTTAGTCATTTAAAGTTTTCCGTCGGCATGGAGCTGAGAATGGAGTGAACATTCTTTAAAGAATAGTGAACATAGTTAAAGTTAAATAGTGAACAAAGTTAACAAAGACATTACTGAAAGCTGGGCAGAGTATCTTATTGCCAAATTTAAATTACGACTGCCGCAAGGAGAATATAATGCTAAAGAGTTGACATATAAAATCTTTTGTTGTACTCCACTAACCCTTCTTTTCATATTTGATCCATCATCATATCCTTGACCTTTGCAGTTAGAATTTTTAATCGATGCATAGTTAACAGTTTTATCAAAACTTGAGAAAGTCTTAGTAAACTTTAGGAAGTCTTAAGCCAGTAGAATTATAAACAGAAAGAAATCTTAATAAGTACTCTGATTTCCACTCTATTGTCTGATTCAACAAGTCAATAATTTGAACATTAAGAGAATCTTGTTCTTATCTAGAAACGTCAGGTGTAAAACTAGAAATGGTTAAATGCATTAATTCATACAAAATTTCCCTTATTAATGATAAAACCTAACAATTTTCATTGTAAGTGCAAATTTGACAAGCATAAAAAACAAAGTATGGAATTTAGAATCTGAATAAACTAACCATTTACGCAAAAAAATTTCTCCTATTCTAAGTTTTCTATTTTTAATAATGCGATAAAACTGTCAACCATTGTAATCTTCAGGGTAATTTTCTTTTTTATTTGGAGCAGGACCAAGTTTAATTAAATGGTCTAAAATGTTGCTTATCAGACAGACAGAGACAATTTTACAAGGGGTGTGGGGATGGGGAGAGTTACACCCCTTCCCTCTCCAAAGAAAGTGGTTTTCAAGTTATAGTCGGCTATTTGACACCATTCAGTCGGTTAAATTCTCGTTTTGAGGACTTTTTTTTTTATAGAAGCCAGTATGTATGTATGTATGTATGTATGTATGTATGCATGTATGTATGTATGTATGTATGTATGTATGTATGTATGTATGTATGTATGTATGTATGTATGTATGTATGTATGTATGTATGTATGTATGTATGTATGTATGTATGTATGTATGTATGTATGTATGTATGTATGTATGTATGTATGTATGTATGTATGTATGTATGTATGTATGTATGTATGTGTGTGTGTATGTATGTATGTATGTATGTATGTATATATGTATGTATGCATGTATGAATGTATGTATGTATGCATGTATGAATGTATGTATGTATGTATGTATGTATGTATGTATGTATGTATGTATGTATGTATGTATGTATGCAGGCCCGCCGCGTCCCTTTATGACGCCTGGGGTCAAAATTTATCTAGCGCCCTGTCATATTGACCTGATCAAAAAAAATTTAGATACTGTCCAAATGCTAAGTTTTTTTTTAAGTTTTACTTTTTAAAACTTACTTTAAGAGGCCGAGAAGGTAAATACAGTCGAGAAGGCTTCTATATATTTTTTAAATAAGTTTGAAAAAAGGTAAAGAAAGAAGCACAAGTTGACAAATTAACTTTATTATATTGCGAGCAACTGTAAATTTTAAATGTAATAGATATTTTAAATGCTTTATAAGAATTTGACTCTCCGTGCTTTATTTAAAGCAAAATTTTCAATGACCTCGTCGTAGCACAGACTTTTTGCTAGATCGTGCTCAATAGATATAACTAAGAGATTGGTAAGCCGGTCTTGACTCATTGTAGATCTTAATGTTGTCTTGACTAGACCAAGCTTGCTGAAAGACCGCTCTCCTTCGGCGATGGAAACGGGAATTGTGTTAAAAATACGTAATAAAATGCATGATGATTCGAAGATAGACTCTAGACCTTTTTGATAAATTCCATTTAATAGTTTCATTGAAGTGAGATATTCTTTTGGACCGAAAAGATTGGCACG